CTCAGCCTTCTTCCTGTTCTGCTCGGAGTATCGCCCAAAAATTAAAGGAGAACATCCTGGCCTGTCCATTGGTGATGTTGTGAAGACACTGGGAAAGAAGTGGAGTAACTCTGCTGCCGATGACAAGCAGCCTTATGAAAAGGAGGCTGTGAAGCTGAAGGACACTGCTGCATATCGAGCTAAAGGAAAGCCTGCTGCAGCAAAAAAGGGAGTTGTCAAGGCTGAAAAAAGCAAGAAAAAGAAGGAAGATGAGGAAGATGAAGAGGAGGAAGAGGAAGATGAAGATGATGATGAATAAGTTGGTTCTAGTGCAGTTTTTTTGGTCTATAAAGCATTTAACCCCCCTGGACACAACTCACTCCTTTTATTTATTTATTTATTTTTTTTTTGAGACAGAGTTTCGCTCTTGTTAGCCAGGCTGGAGTGCAATGGCGCGATCTCCGCTCACCGCAACCTCCGCCTCCTGGGAACAGGCAATTCTCCTGCCTCAGCCTCCTGAGTAGCTGGGATTACAGGCACGCGCCACTGTGCCCAGCTAATTTTTGTATTTTTAGTAGAGACGGGGTTTCACCATGTTGACCAGGATGGTCTCAATCTCTTGACCTCGTGATCCACCCGCCTCAGCCTCTCAAAGTGCTGGGATTACAGGTGTGAGCCACCGCGCCTGGCCCAACTCACTCCTTTTAAATAAAAAAATTGAAGTGTAAGGCTGTGTAAGATTTGTTTTTAAACTGTACAGTGTCTTTTTTTGTATAGTTAACGCACTACGGAATGTGTCTTTAGGTAGCCCTGTACTGGTGGTATTTTCAGTAGCCACTAACCTTGCCTGGTACAGTATGGGGGTTGTAAATTGGCATGGAAATATAAAGCAGGCTCTTGTTGGTGCACAGCACAAATTAGTTATATACGGGGATGGTAGTTTTTTCAACTTCAGTTGTTTCTGATGAAGCTTATACGAAATAACTGTTGTTCTGTTAACTGAATACCAGTGTGTAATTGCAAAAAAAAAAAAAAATGTTGCAGTTTTGTTGACATTCTGAATGCTTCTAAGTAAATACAATTTTTTTAAAAAAAGGTAATTATAATAAGTGGGCCGGGCGCAGTGGCTCACGCCTGTAATCTTAGCACTTTGGGAGACCGAGGCAGGCGGATCACCTGAGGTCAGGAGTTCAAGACCAGCCTGGCCAACATGGTGAAACTCTGTCTTAAAATAATAATAATAATAATAATTACAAGTGTTGGTGAGGATGGAGACGTGGGGATCCTCATAAAGTGGGAATGTCACATGGTGCATTTCCTAAAGAAACAGTTTGCTGGTTTCTCAAAAGGTGAAACAGAGAGACCATAGGATACAGCAGAACCGCCCCGGGTACACACCCAAGAGAATGGAACACACAAGCCCACATGAAAACTTGCTCATCAATTTTCACAGTGGTATCAGTCCTAATAGCCAAAAAGGAGAGACATCCCTAATGTCTATCAGTTGACGAATAAACACAATATGGTATCACCACACAGTAGATGATTCACAATAAAAAGGAAGAAAGCACTGATATATACAAAGTTCAATGTGAAAACACTGAATATACTATAAACCAGTGAATTGAACACTTTAAAAATATTAACTTTGGGCTGGACACAGTGGTTCACTCCTATAATCCCAGCACTTTAGATTGGATGGGTGGATCAACTGAGGTCAGGAGTTTGAGAACAGCCTGGCCAACACGATAAAACCCCGTCTCTACTAAAAATACAATCAATCAATCAATCAGTAAATAAAATTAGCCGGTCATAGTGGCAGGCACCTATAATCCCAGCTACTCAGGAGGCAGAGACAGAGGCAAGAGAATTGCTCTCACTCGGGAGGCAGAGTTTGCAGTGAGCTGAAATCACACCACTGCACTCCAGTCTGGGTGACAAGAGTGAAACTCCACCTAAAACAATGTATTTATATATATATATATATATATTATAAACTTTAACGTACATGAATTCTATCTCAATAAAGCTATTATTTTTCAAAAATTAGAAAGTGTGGGAGATGCACACTGAAGCTTGGTGTTTATTTTTTTATGGCCAGTTTACAGGTAATTTCTTATTAGTGATTTGCTGCATTTTCCAAACAGTCTACATCAGACTTTTATTACAATGATGATAAAATCGGAAATTTCTAGTTGGTTAAAGGAGGCTAAGGTGGAGTTTGTCTTTCTCCAGCTGTCACTACAGAGAGACAGGAGCCTGCAAATCCATTTCCCAGCTGACCTGTGTACCCAGTTAGCCAGAGAAGGTCAGAGGCATGAATTACTGCACTAAAAGTTGTCAAAGCTTCCAAGCACACTCTCAGCCCCAGGACCAGCCGTGCCTGGCCCCCCATCCCCAGCCACATCTGCCACCTCTGTCAGTCCTGGTGATGCAGCTGCATGGCATCCCCCAGAGGCAGTAGGCTGGGACTACAAGGCCGCGATGCTGCTGGGGGAAACAGATCAGCCTTCAAGAATCTACTGGGAAATGAATTCTAATTAGCCTGGGAAAGGAGCCTCAAGCCTCCCTGGCTCAGAGCCACCGCTCTAGGGCATTTCGGAGCAGATGAGCAGATAGCAACACATAAGCCCTTTTAGCTGGTTGGGAGCTTTAGGGATTCTCACACTGCAATTCGCATAGCACCTGACAGTCTACATCATAGTACTTTACAGCTGGAGGCCATAAAGTCCAGGGCTCCCCACTGCTCCTCTGCAGCAACACATGCACGGTATCGAGTGGGATTGTGCTTTTAGCACCTTCACCTGTTTCCCTAAGTACTGACAGAGCCCTCTCATTACAGGGATAATCTGGAATGTTCTCTGGTTTATTAACCATTTATTTTAATTACCTTATTTTCAAAAACTAAATCATTCTTCCAAATCAATGACGTAGAGAGAAAAAAGAAGGGACTATTTTAGAAGAAAATAACTCAGGCTGAGTGCGGTGGCTCACGCCTGTAATCCCAGCACTCTGGGAAGTCAAGGAGGGCAAATCACCTGAGGTCAGGAGTCCGAGACCAGCCTGGCCAACATGGTGAAACCCAGTCTCTGCTAAATACACAAAAATTAGCTGGGCGTTGTGGCATGTGCTTGTAATCCCAGCTACCCAGTAGGCAGGAGAATCACTGGAATCTGGGAGGCCAAGTCTGCAGTGAGCTGAGATCGAGCCACTGCACTCCAGTCTGGGTAACAGAGTGAGACTCCATTTCAAAAAATGAAAAAAAGAAAAAAAGTTTCAAAAGAACTCAAAACACAGAGTCAAATGCAACATGTGAAACTTATTTGGATTCTGATTTGAAAGAAATATCTGTCAGGAGATACCCTAGACGTAATTAGATATACCTCAATATTGACTGAGTAACAGGAAATATTGAGAAATTATTGTTAATGCTATTAGCACTACCCAGACCAATCTTGTTTATGCATTTCCGGACCTATCTCCCCTCCCAAGATGCTAGAAGCAGAATGTTTTCTGTCTCAATTAAGACAGTAGATACAGAGCACTGTGGTTAAGAGTGTGAAGCCCACTTGACCATTTACTGTGTGATCTTGTGCAAGTTACTCATTCTCTCTGTGCCTGCTTGATTGAAAGAAAATCTGTAAACATAGGGAAACAATAGAACTCAACTCATGGGCTTGATTCAAAGAGTGAGTGAATATTTATAAAGCAAAACAATGTCTGGCGCATAGTGCACGTTCTGGAATCTTCCAGGGCCACAGAATAGAATAGAATTATATTCTGTGAATTCAAGGGAAAGTCTTTGAATGAGGAAAACCCGAGGACAATGGCCCTATTGGATTCAGGTGCCCCAGTGCCCCAGCAACAGAATGTGGCAGGCACAGGCAGGGATCTCACAAGGACATACAAAACAGAGGAAGCTGGAGACTCACGGCTAGAAGCCTGGCTTCTTTTTTTTTTTCTGATATGGAGTCTTGCTCTGTTGCCCAGGCTGGAGTGCAGTGGCACAATCTCAGCTCACTGCAACCTCCGCCTCCTGGGTTGAAGTGATTCTTCTGCCACAGCCTCCCTAGTAGCTGGGATTACAGGCATCAGCCAGCACGCCCAGCTAGTTTTTGTATTTGTAGTAGAGATGGGAGTTTCACCATGTTGGCCAGGCTGGTCTTGAACTCCTGACCTCAGGTGATTTGTCCGCCTCAGTCTCCCAAAGTTCTGGGATTATAGGTGTGAGCCACCGCACCCGGCCTTAGAAGCCTGGCTTCTGAAGCCAGACTGGGTTCAAATCCTGTCTCTACTACCAGTGAGGGGCAGGTCACCCTCTGGCTCTCTGTGCTCCAGTTGACTCTGTTGTAAAGGCCAGAAAAGCCCCAGCCTCCCAGGTTGGAGAGGAGCCCAGCCCTGGCTCTCCCAGCAGCTCACCACTCTCCGAGGGCCTGGTACTCCGACCACTCGCTTGTGGGTTCAAGTCAGCTAAGTCCTTTCTGCTCTTCAGACCTGTTTTCCCATCCTCAAAAATGGGAAATTCGACTGCCTTACCTCCGTGTAAGAGGGAGGAGAAAGGAAAGTCGACGTTTGCTAGGCACCTGTCCTGAGGCCCAGTGGGCCTGTCCTGAAGCCCAAGATGAAGCCGTCAGAAGCAGTGACGCAGGACTCGCAGGACTCCAATTCCCATGGGTCTGGTTCCAAATTAACCTGCCAAGCTACTGTTTTTCAATAATTCTACGGAAAAAGCCCCTGGAGAGCTTTTGAAAGCCATGCCCTTTGTAACCCAACCAGAGACAAAAGGGCCTCCCCAGCCTCCCCCGCGCAGTAAGGATCCCCGTGTTCAGCCGAAGCCTTAGCAAGACACTTTCAAACCGGGGCCAGCAGCGGCGATGCCTTTTCCACGTTGCTGATGGAAAAGCCACCCCCAGCTGTTCCCGCCAACCCAGGTCCCCGGTGAGGACAGAGGAACGTCCCCAACTGTGCCACTGGTCCGGCTCCCAGCCCACCCAAGTGTGGAGAGTGAAGAACCAACGTACCCCAAAGCTTGGCGTCTCTGCCCGACCTGGCAGGGAGTGGGACGCCTCTCTCCCTGGGCTCAGCAAAGGCTCCCAGACTTCGTCTCTTCCAAATTCCACCGCACAGCCAGCTCTTTCTCTTCAATGAAGGGTCTGCAGGGCTGAGTTGCTCCTTAAGGTCCCAAGACTATGAGGGGACACCCGGTGACGCCAGGAAAGGGGCTCTAAGAGGCATGGATGGGAATCGGGGAACCAAGACACTGGAAGCTCCTGGAGACTAGAGGCAGAGCGAATCTGGGAACAGGGCAGGCGTCCCAGAATGGGATGTGGAGGGTGGGGGTGTCCTGGGGCTACCACAGGGAGGCACCCGGCGAAGAGCCCCCTCCGGAGCCTGGCACTGCCGCCCGCACCCTCTACTCCCTGTGCGCCAGCCCACAACCCTCGGCGCTGCCGGAGCTGCTCGCCCGGAGCGCACACAATGAGGCGCTTTCAGACGTGGCTGCGGTCCCAGGGTGGCCGGCAGGAGCCAGGACGGTGGGGGAAGGAAGGAGACGGTTGGCCCTAGGCTCCCTCTCCCCACCCCCGACCGAGGGGCCACGCCTCGGAGGAGGGGCGCTGGCCAAGGCAGGGCAAGAGGGCCCAGGTGGGCTGGGCTCTGAGAGGCGCATCGTTTAGCCGAGGATGTTACAGGGCGCTGGCAGAGTTACCTCTCATCTAACTGACCACAAATGAACGTTGTGCCCTATCCCCGGCCCAATCCCCAGAGAAAGGGAGCTCCTGGACAAAGATCCTAGTGAAGGAAGTAGAATCTTAATCTTGGCCCTCTTCGCTCTTGGGGGGCATTCTTGCAGCTAAGTGACTTGGAATCCAAACCCTTCCCACTGCCCCAACCTCAGCCCTAAGCCAAGACCCAGCCACCTGGATAACACAGGGACCCCGTGCAGTGTCCCAGCTGGGAGGGGCAGAGAGACCAGGTGGCCTTAGGAGCTGGTCCCGCAGCTGTTCCCCTCCTCCTGCTCATTGCCAGCCCTAGCCTTGGCCGAGAGAGGTGTAGGCTTCATAGCAGGTCCAGAAAAAGACATGATACGTTTCAACAAATAAGGTATTTTCCCCTTACAAATAACAGGGCAGAGTCCAGGCATCTGAAGAGGATAAAGCATTTGAAGGTCTTGTAATTAGTGATGTGATCTTAAACAAGAACTCCCCGCTGCAGGGAGAAGAAATGAGCAGTCTTTCCTGGTTGTGGTTTCGCAAGATGAATTACGATCCTTAATGATGGTCATAAGCTTTTTGGATTGGTAATTCCTTTCTGGGATCTAAAGGAAATAAACCAGAAACAGATTTATATACAAGGTTCACATAAGTGTTGTTCATTATTTTGACTTTGATTATTTTTGAGACGGAGTCTAGCTCTTGTCCCCCATGCTGGAGTGTGATGGTGGGATTTCGGCTCACTACAACCTCCACCTATAGGGTTCAAGTGATTCTCTTGCTTCAGCCTCCTGAGTAGCTGGGATTACAGGTGCCCACCACCAAACCATGTCCAGCTAATTTTTTGTACTTTTAGTAGAGACAGAGTTTCGCTATGTTGTCCAGACTGGTCTCGAACTTTTGACCTCAGGTTATCCACCCACCTTGGCCTCCCAAAGTGCTGGGATTACAGGTGTGAGCCACTGTGCCTGGCCTGTTCATGATTTTTTAAAAGTTAGAAATAGTGTATAGGATAGTAAGATGTGTGCCAGAAGGCCAACCATTATAACTCTGGGTAGGGGATTGGCAGTCATTATTTTACTTAGGATCATGTAATTTACATTTCCTTAACAGATATTTAGAACTTACCTGGCCAGAAAGATCCAAAACCTCTTTACAAAGCATGAATAAGGAGATGGGGAGAGGAGGTGGGGGATGGGGTAAGAGGGAGGCAGAGAGAATTGCTTTAATAAGCTTCAAGATGGAAGCTTAGTGGGGCATTAGACACCTGACCTGCCTTGGCAGAAACTGGACTAATCATTTGGAAGAATTAGGAATTTATCCAAATATGACCTATTTATGGATTACAGCTCAGTTGATAATATCGTGCATATTTCTTACCTTTCTTTCTCCTGCAACTATGCTGTGTGGTTCTGTTTCAGAAGCCACCAACATAGGATCTGTAAATAATTTTATATTCACCAGACACCGTTGTAATTTTCCAACCCGTCGTTTCCATATGCCATGTGGATTCCACTAAAAACTAATATACTTGGGGTTGGACCAGGAAACTTTTGCCAAAGAGCTAACAAAAGCTCCAAGGTCTTTGGGCAGAGCCCTGGCAAAGCAAGGCTGCTGGTGAGTAACTCGGAGAAGTGTGCTCAACTTCAGCCCTCCCTATTCTTCCTCTCTCCAAAGCCCTGATTCAAAATAAGGGAATACAACCTTCCATGTTGAACATTTTAATTAGCAAGCTACAGAACGTAATGGATTCTTTATATAAGTTTTGTATTCAAATAATTTAATAAAATCCAAACCAAAGTTTATACATATCTTTAGCCATCTTTCCATGTTTCATTACCTTTTGGGGATTTAAACCACCAACAATTTTTTAATGTCAATCTCAAGAGACCAGGCACACTGACTCACGCCTGTATTCTTGGCACTTTGGGAGGTTGAGACAGAAGGATTGCTTGAGGCTAGGAGTTTTATATTGCCCAAGACCAGCCTGGGCAATATAGTGAGGACCCCAATCTATAAAAATAAATAAATCTCAAGAAAAAAATTAGGCATATAAAACAGCCTGAATATGAAAAAAAGACAAGGGGGACAGTATTTTAGGGAATTCCTCTGCTTGTATACTTCAAAATAGCTTTGTTTCCAAAACTGTTTTTAGTCAGCCTAAAGGAAACGGTGCTGGAGATGAGAGCTGATCTCCAAGGTAAACCGAGGCACACACTAAGAGGTGTGTTTGTGGGCATGAAGCATAAACCACAGGGGCCATGTCTTCCAGTGGGAATGACCTGCTTGGGATCAGGAAGCAGCTCCATCTGTCCTCGGAGGAGACTGCTCGCGTCCTCAGGAGGTGAAGGGGCTGAACAAGCCGTCGTCCACGTGCAGAGACCCCTTCCAGCCATCTCTGCTCCCGCAGACACTTGCTCAGCCACCACAGTAGTCCAGCTGGACTGCTTGGCATTCTGTTAGTGGCCAGGCTGGACTGGCCTGCCCGGGCCAGCATCCTCCTTACCCCCTCACTGCTTCTTGTGTCCTTCCCAAAGCTGCCCGCCCCACTCTAATGGGCACCCTGTTCCTTAGTCAAGGGAAACACAAGCCGCTGGGCTTCCCGCTAGCCTTCTAAATAAACTGTGGTTGTCAGGCCGTGGGAGCCAATCCCAACACCAACTCCTGTCACCCCTGTCCTTTGCAGGAAGCAGGAAGGCTGTCAAGGAGGAGGAGGGCCAAGTGCTCAGGCTGTTGAGTGAGGCCCAGAAAGAACCTGTTGTGACAATCCTTTCTTCTCCCAGTGTTGCTGAAGGGGCTGGGAATGAACAGCCCCTCTGACTTTAGCCTGCCATCCAGGGGTGCACACAGAGGGCAAAACAGGGCAAAGAGCCAGCCACAGTCAGGCAGGCATCCAGGCCTGCTCCGCTGAGCTGACAGATGACTGACTTTCCGGCTGAGGCAGGTGGACCGTCCGAGTGTCCTTCAGCGGCCCTCCCTCATGCCTGTGCCAAGGCAGCCCTCCCCTTGGGCCCTGCACCTCTAGGTCTCCAGTGAAAGGCCTCAGCTCTGGAAATCAAGGCTCTGAATGGGAAATGGAGAGGCCCAGGGGTGCAAAGTGCTAGTGATTGGCATGTTTGTCACAAGAGAGCCCTGAAGAGTAAGTGGCTCACAGTAGAAGGAAGAAACGCACAGTGTGTTTCTCACTCAACAGAGGAAAAGTCTCTGCTTGACCAGAGATGGGACTCTTTCCAAGATGTCTGAACTGACTGCAATTTTCTCCTGAAATTCAACGCTAAGGCAAAGAAGAAAAACCCAAAAAGCTTATTACAGCCTCCAGGAACCCTCAGACCTTTCCACAAATTACTCCCTGATGATTCTGCAAGAGCTCTGAAGGTACGGAACTTGTATAGAGCAAAGGGAAGAACTGTTGTTTGTCTCGGAGGGGAAAAGCACACAAGCCCACATGTGTCCCCTGGGCTCTTTCAGAAACATCCTAAGATGTTCGCAGGAGATGACAATGAGGCAGCCACGGTCCTGCTGAGTCCTCAGGTCCTCAGAAGCGGCCTTCCTAGGATAAGTGCTCCTTCCACACTTCTCCCCGGGGCATCGCTGTCACAGAGATGGTGGTCACAAAGATCTTGATTCTTTCAAACACCCAGAGGAAGATAAGCAGGATGCTGACATACTGCACTCAGGCAAACTTCACCATCTCCCAGAACCCTGGCTGATAAGTACGGACAGTTAAGGAGTGGAGGGCCACATGGCATAAGTCAAAGTAAACTAAGGTTTAGTCCAGACAGGAAATGGCAAGAATATTTCAAATACTCTTAGGATGAAAGGAATAATAAAAGATTATTAAGAAATAAATATGGATGATTCTGACTTAGAAGAATGGCTCAGAAAGAAATATGAACAGGAAATGATTCCCCCCTCCCCCACCGTAAAAAGAGCAGACGCAGTCATTTATGTCGGAATACAGTGCTGTAGCAATTTCCAATCAAAGTCTTCCCACATCTGTTCCTGCTGGGGACAACTTTGGAATCTTCTCTTTTTGGAAACTGAGCTACCACTGCCTCTCTAACAGAAAGGATATAATATGGTTTCCACCATGCATTGGATGATAGCATTAATCACAAAAGGAGTTTCATGGCTCTGCCCACCCGGCCAGATAAAGTTGTGGTTATTCAGGATGGTGGCAACTGCAATACAATCATTAACCATTAATCAATCATGGGGCAGCCTTTTGGCAAAAAAACATTGAGGGCTATAAATATTCTTTTATTCCTGTGGGATATTCTGCACTTCAGAACAGAAAGAAATCATTTGAAAGCATAAACAATTGCATATACAAGGTAGATTAACAAATAATTTAAGATACTTGTCGGCCAGGCGCGGTGGCTCACGCCTATAATCCCAGCACTTTGGGAAGCCAAGGTGGGTGGATCACGAGGTCAAGAGATCGAGACCATCCTGGTCAACAAGGTGAAACCCCCTCTCTACTAAAAATGACAAAAATTAGCTGGGCATGTTGGTGCGCGCCTGTAGTCCCAGCTACTTGGGAGTCTGAGGCAGGAGAATTGCTTGAACTCAGGAGGTGGAGGTTGCGGTGAGCCGAGATCGTGCCATGGCACTCCAGTCTGGGTAACAACAGCAAAACTCTGTCTCAAAAAAAAAAAGATACTTGTCAAACAAAATATTTGATATGGTCTGGCTCTGTGTCCCCACCCAAATCTCATACGTCCCCACATATCAAGGGCAGGACCAGATGGAGATAAATGAATCATGGGGGCAGTTTCCTCCGTGTTGTTCTCATGATAGTGAGTTCTCACGAGATCTGATGCTTTTATAAAGGGCTTCCCCCTCAGCTCTGCTCTCATTCTCTCTCCTGCTGCCCTGTGAAGAGGTGCCTTCTGCCATGATTGTAAGTTTCCTGAGGCCTACCCAGCCATGCAGAACTGTGAGTCAATTACACCTCTTTTCTTTATAAATTACTCAGTCTTGGATATGTCTTTATAGCAGAGTGAGAATGGACTAATACAGTATTTATATTAAAATACGTCAAAAACTCAGAAGTGGTTGTGTGATCATCTACAGATGTTGAATGGCTAACTGAAGGAATAATGTATTGCCACTCTAAATAATATCAGTTTGGCTGGGCAAAGTTGTATAGGCTCCTAATGCCAAGGATCTGGGAGGCCAAAGTGGGAGGATCACTCGAGGCCAGGAGTTTGAGACCAGCTTGGCTGACATATTGAGACCTCTCTGTACCAAAAAACAAAAAAAGCTGGGCACAGTGGCACATGCCTGTAGTCCCAGCAGCCCAGTAGGCTGAGGTGAGAGGATCACTGAACCCATAGGAACTCGAGGTTACAATCAGCTATGATTATGGCACTGCACTCCAGCCTGAGCATCAGAGCAAGACTGTCTGTTTAGGGAAAAAAAAGAATTAGAACTTCGTAGCAGCGTAGGGAAATACTTATATTACATAGAAATACAAATAATGTGAATGCCAAAGTGTTTCAATACTAACATAATAGGTATATTTAAAAAATCCACATAAAGAGTGAAAAAAGTAAAGAACAACACATAGATTTCTTGAGCCATGCTTTTTAGTTTTGTCTAAAAATTCCCTTTTTATTGTCTGCTGCTAGTGTATGACATAAAATCAGAAAGCAATGGTGGATTTGTAGTTGTCCCCTCTGTGAAATGTCTGTGTGTCGTCTCCATGATATCTGGTTGCCAAGTAATACTGTAGATGCCTTTAGAGAACACCTCAGCCACCAGCCAGCCAAATGTGCTGAGTCAACACATGCCATGGCCTACAGCTCTGTAAGGAGTGAGGACACTGCGCCTTCCAGTAGGAAGCATGGGCGCTCCTGTTCTCCTGCTGGACTGCTAACGTGGGGAGAGTCACCCATGTTCTTGTTTTCTCTCTGAAAAGCGTGAACAGCAATTTGTCTTTGGCATCTGTTATAGGTGTGGCATGGGGAACAACTCAATTAGGCTTATATTTTTAAAAAAGGAAATCTATCAAGCCAGTGGTGGGATAAAGATGACATTTAACCATCACTAACCTGCTGGACCATGGGATGCTGGAAGCGGGGGGGCGGACCCAGGTTTGAAGATCAGGACAAAAGGACACATTCTGGACAGCACACTTACTCCCATTATTGAACATTCATGGGTTTTGACATTTTCATCACAAGGGCTCCAATTCTGCTTGTCTCTGTTGCCCCCAGTAACCTTGAAAGTCCTGAGCAGCTGCTGAATGAGCTCTACCTGTGACTCACTGTTCCTTTCCTGGTAGGCAGCAACAATATGTAGGAGGTCATAATCGTAGGCAAAGGGGCTGGTCCTGTTGATCATGGATACCTGGGACACGGGAGGAGGATGTGGCGTGAGCACCTGGGAGGCTCCTCCTCTCTTCCTTCTACCCTCCTGACACCCAGGCTGGTCCCACAGACCACCCTCGTGGTCTTGGTGGCCTAGTCCCGTGTCAATAATCTTATCTTCAAAGATGAATAAACATTGCAACAATTTAAGTTTATTTACTCTGTCCTTCTGTCTGTGGGGATGGAAATAAGGGGTCAGTGTCAACGTTTCATACGTTTTAAAGCTATTTATAAAATCTCTCTCTTGGCTGGATGTCATGGCTCATGTCTGTAATCCCTGCACTTTGCGACGCTGAGGCAGGAGGATTGCTTTAGGCCAGAAGTTCAAGACCAGCACAGGGAACATAAAGACCCCCGTTTCCACTGAAAACAAAAAAAAACAAACAAAAAAACCCCAACAAACTAGGCATTGTGGTGCCTCCAGTCCTAGCTACTAGGGAGGCTGAGGAGGGAGAACTGCTTGTACCCAGGAGTATAAGACACAGTGAGTCATAGGTGGGCCACTGCACTCCAGCCTGGGCCACAGAGTGAGACTCTATTTTTTTAATAAAAAAGTGGGGGCAGGGGCAGGCACAGTGGCTCACACCTGTAATCCCAGCATGTTGGGGGGCCCAGGTGAGTGGATCACGTGGGTCCAGGAGTTAAGACAGCAGCCTGAGAAACAAGGCAAAACCCCTTCTCTACAAAAAGTACAAAAATTAGCCAGGCATGGTAGCATGCACCTGTAGTCCCAGCTCACTACTCAAAAGGGTGGGGTAGGAGGATCATCTGGGCCTGGGGAGGTTGAGACTGCAGTGAGCCATGATCATGCCACTGCACTCCAGCCTGGGTGACAGAGTGAAACCCTATCACACACACACACATACAAAATAATTAATAAAATTGTTTTGAAAAGGGTTAGGTACAGTGGCTCATATCTGTATTCCTAGTACCCTTGGAGGCTGAGGTGGGAGGATCGCTTATAACTGATAATTTTCCTTTTTCACCTTCATGGCAGCCCAACTTCTGTGGTCCCCATTGTGATAAAATAAAGGTGAGGAATGAGTGATTAGATGCATGAGTTCTGGACACAGAAAGTTCCTGTCTCTGTTATACATTTTTTTTTTTTTGAGATGGAGTTTTGCTCTTATTGCCCAGACTGGAGTGCAATGGCATGATCTCGGCTCACTGCAACCTCCACCTCCTGGATTCAAGCAATTCTCCTGCCTCAGCCTCCCGAAAGGTGGGATTACAGCCATTAGCCACCATGCCCGGCTAATTTTGTTATTTTTAGTAGAGACAGGGTTTCTCCATGTTGGTCAGACTGGTCTCAAACTCCCAACCTCAGGTGATTCACCTGCCTCGGTCTCCCAAAGTGCTGGGATTACAGGCATCAGCCACCATGCCCAGTCTCTGGCTCTGATATACTTTCAAGCTTTGCGCCTTTGAGAAAATTAATCACTGTTAGCCCCAGTTTTGTCTTCTGCAAAATGAGTTCATTCTTTAAACAAGCATCTCTGCGAGCTTCCCATGTGCCAGGCAGTGTGCTAGGCACTGACGTGACAGTACATGAGATGCCACTGCTGTCATCGCTGAGGGAGACAACAAATAAACACACAAACACGTGTCCTGAGTAGGCCAGGTGGCAGGAGGGAAAGTCTGGCTGAGGGATGATGGAGGGAGGGGCTGCTGCTGCAGAGGCAGCTCAGAGAAGGACTGTGCTCAGGGATATCTGAACAGGGACCTGAACTGCGTGGTCCGATAAGTCACGTGGATGCCTGGCAGAGGAGACGGCAAGAGCAAAAGCCCTGAGGTGGAAGCTGCTTCCTGGGTATGAGGAACAGCAAAAAGGCCAGGGTGGCTGGAAGGGAGCAAGGGGGACAGCGACGGGACAAGTGGCTGGAGCACTGGGAAAGAACAGTGCACGCGACTCAGAGGTTGCTGCGATAATTAAAGGAGATGATACAGGTAAACCCCTGCACTCAGGGCTGGCCTATGTCACGGGTTCAGTAAACTGTTGAGTAGTATTTTTGAAATACTTTACATGAACATTTCACATGATCTCTTGGAAACACATACTCCAAGTGTGTGTTTGGAAAAGCAAATGTGTTTGTGTGAGTGCATGTGCACACGTGTACCTAAAAGCAATAAACAATTTAGTTATTTGAGAAACACTGATTTTTTTCTCTTTCTCCTTCTAGGTATAAATACAGGTATATCTTCATAATCTGAAAAGATTTTATGGCAAGAATTCCTCAGAAGGCCCCTTTAAAGCCACCCGCAGAGAAATGATATTTCTACCTTTCATTCCCCTCTTCAAAGAACTCAGTGAACAGTAACACACAGAAACAAAGGAGCTGGACAATGAGAAGTGCTCTTACGTTGTATCGGGCATCGAGGCCGCCACAGCTCAGCGGCTGTTTCTGCTGCAGCCTCAGGTCTCCATTCACATATAACTGGGATCCAGGGATAGCAAAGGAGGACTGAAGAAATGCCATGCTCTGCATCACGAAGGTTGACATCCTCTGAAATCATTAGAAAAACAAACAATACCAACCGCTGTCAGATCTGAAGGGCTCTGGGTCTAACAGTCAGCTGTCTTGGCTGAAACCTAAGGGACTCTCACGCACCCAGCACAGTCATGCAGGAAACACTGCCTAGAACCTTCTGAGCTATTAGTAGCCCATATTAATTAATATGACTCCAGTGAAAAACATTCAGCTGGCCTAAGCGATCCCAAACTACATGGGGAAGAGGACCTGCTACGGTATGGGTCTTCTAGAAATCAGAAGAAAGGCTCTGGTCTATGAAAAAGACACAAGAGAGAGGATGGCCTCCCAGCGGACTGACTCACGTGTAACTGATAGGAGAAAGTCAGGATGAGCTGCACACCGAGAACGTGCTCCGTGGACTGCAGGGGAAGCTCCAGCTTAAAATGTAACATGTCCATCTTCCCATCCTGGTTCCTGTCTTCTTCTCTAGTCTAGGACACCCAAACAGGGCCAGCAGCCCTGGTCACTAATGAGTCTGGGAGGAATCCACATCACTTCTATACATACACAATGACCCACGGTCCTGCTGTACACAACAGGCATTATCTCCCCCACCCCCCAAAAAAAGAGAAAAATAGACAGGGGTAAGCGCATTAATATTGGGGAAAGAGATACAAAGTGCATGGCCCCTGAACTTCCTATGTGAGTCTCTCAAATGTTCACTGGCCAAAATAAATGGGAACTTGAAGTGGCAATACAAGACAAGAAACATCTGGATAGCATCGTCTCATTTGATCCTGTCTTTTTAAGTTTTAAAATTTTATTTTGTTAAAGAGATAGGTTCTCCCTATGTTGCCCAGGCTGGTCTTGAACTCCCAGAGTCAAGGGATCCTCCTGCCTTGGCCTCCCAAAGTGCTAAGATTATAGGTGTGAGCCCCCCGGTCAGATCAGATCTTGTTCGTTTTGTACTGGTGTTTTTTTTTTTTTTTCTTTTTTATAAACATGCCTGGATTTGCATGGAAAACTAGAGTATCAGAATTGTCTTCTACGCCTCTAGAAACAACTTTTTAAATTAGAAAAACACCTAATCCTTATCATTATGCATTCCCCCAACAAACTCAACAGAAAATCATCCAGCTCTATTATACATTCCGAAACCACAAGCGTCTTTGCTTCAGATTCTTTTTTTTTTTTTGAGACGGAGTTTCGCTCTTGTTACCCAGGCTGGAGTGCAAAGGCGCGATCTCGGCTCACCGCAACCTCCGCCTCCTGGGCTCAGGCAATTCTCCTGCCTCAGCCTCCCGAGTAGCTGGGATTACAGGCACGTGCCACCATGCCCAGATAATTTTTTGTATTTTTAGTAGAGACGGGGTTTCACCATGTTGACCTGGATGGTCTCAATCTCTTGACCTTGTGATCCACCCGTCTCGGCCTCCCAAAGTGCTGGGATTACAGGCGTGAGCCACCGTGCTTCAGATTCTTGATGTTGGACCTCATCTCATCAGGACTTGAAAGTCTTGTGGATCTTTTAGTACCAATCAATGAAATGAAAAAGGAAGCGATGTCAAGTCAGCAAAGCATTAAAACCACATCTGTATGATAAATTATGGGCATGAAAGAAAAAGAAACAGAGATCTGTGGAGGAAAACAGGACAAATTAGAGCTGATGAAGCTTATGTAGGCAGTGAAAAAAAACAGGTATCCATTCCCACCATCCAGGCTGACCTCACAGTGATCCTAAAACGATCAGCAGGAGAAGACGGCAACTGAAAAGCAATCACTGCTGACATGACCCCTCTGCACAACTCTGGATCTTTTTGCTACCAGTGATCCTTTCCCAGTGTAGTTCCCAGAAGTATTCTACTGTGGTGTAGCAGCATTCCCATCTGGATCCCTGATCTGATTCATTTTGATTCCCACCATTATTATTATATGAGGAAAATAATTTTTGTACCTTTTTGGACTAAAAAGGTCATTTGAGATGAAGAAATCTCAATTTTCAGAAACTTTCAATTATTTTTTTCCTTCTAGACAATAACATCCTTATTCTCAGTCTTGTTTTAGAGAAATCTCCCTCCCTCTTCTCTTGGATACTTCCTCTCTGCCCTGTTTCATCAGCTTCAGTGCAGGGTAGCTGCTACCAGGGCTGATGATCAAGTTACTGAGGCAGTGATGGACTAGTCATTATGAGTAGGATGAAAAGAGTCTGCCTTGTCTTCCTGTGGATTTTCTTCAATCGGGATCTGGGGAGACAATGTTGTATAACTCTCTGATGGATCCATGCCTTCTGGATCTTTAGGGTTAAACAGGAAGCAAAGATCACATTTCTCAACTTGCAACAGAGGATACTGGCCAGAAGACAACTGCCAAAGGAATCCAGACTCCAGCCCACTGTGGGAGGGGTAGAAGCTCATTTCCTTTGATCTTTACGATAAATGTAAAGCCCCAGGAAGGCAGAACACGTATTTTCCCCATTATATCGATAAGAAAATCAAGGGTCAGGGAGATTAGGGCATTTATCAGAGATACAGCAAGTCATGGTGAAGACAGAATTTCTGATCAGGTCTTCGACTTCAAATGTGGTATCCTTTTCAAGACTAAAATATACAGACTTATTTAAAAATTCAAAAAGAAGACGGTGGGTTGGAGAACTCTTTTTGCAAAACGGCAGTGCCAGGCATCAACGCCTGTACACTTGCCTGTGTGCACAATTCCACTCCAAGTTCAGAGAGGAAAGAGATCTGGCTCAGCACCATCAACAGTGTCTACTTGTTAAATTCACTTATTAATGTGCTGCACAGTTTCTGAGGCGCTACTGTGTGTCAGGCACTATTTGAGATGATGAGAATATAGTGGTAAACAAAACAGACAAAGTCTCCATCCTGGGAGCTTATGTTCCCAATCAAGAAAACAGAAAATAGATTAATAAATATGCAACAATTTCAAATAGTGATAAGTGCCACAAAGAAAAATGAGGCAGGCTAAAATGAAATAATAATTAAGGTTGAACTTAACAGAAAGTTTTGTTATTTTTTTTTGTTGTTTTTTTGTTTTTTGAGATGAAGTCTCACTCTGTTGCCCATGCTGGAGTGCAGTGGCATGAACTAGGCTCCCTGCAACCTCCACCTCCTGGGTTCAAGCAATTCTCCAGTCTAAGTCTCCCAAGTAGCTGGGACTACAGGCTACTTTTTTTTTTTCTTTTTAAGTAGAGACAAGGTTTCACTATGTTGGCCAGGCTGGTTTCGAACTCCTGATCTCGTGAACTGCCCACCTTGGCCTCCCAAAGTGCTGGGATTACAGGCGTGAGCCACTGTGCCCAGCTTAACAGAAAGTTTTACATAAAATATTCAGGATGACCCAACTTGTTGGAGGCCTGAAGGAAGTGAGGTGATGAGGGGATGGGGTACAAGAATGTCTCAGGGAAGAAGGATCTAGGCTCACTAAGTGCATGTGCTCTGGGTGCCTGGGGGGCCAGTGCAGCTGGTAGAATGGGTGAGATGGAGAGCATGGCAGAGAGAGGGGACACAGAAGTGAGGACACAAAGGATGTGTCTCCCAAAAACAACCTGTCACTAGCTAGACTCACCCCACGGGCTAGCAAAGGTTGTTTCTGTTATCACTTGTACTACTGAAAAAATCAATTACTTAATTCCATTTCGTTGAAAGTAAGCCTAACATACGTGCAACAGCTACAAAGGCAGGCATTCAAAGGCTACTACTTCCTCAACACAAACTCCAGGTCACTATCTAACCTCCCTCTGGTGCCTGGCCAAGAGAATTCACAAATGACACAACCACTTTACATCTATGAGGTATATACAGGATTTAAAACATTTGTTATATCCACTGATTGTCCCATGTGATCCTTCCACATATCCCAGGAGAGAGGTGGGTGCTCTCACGCCTAGGATATGGAGAGAAAAATTTTGTTGTTTTATTTTACGGAGGGGACGGAGCATCCGTTGAACTACCACATGAACTAAATGAACTATTGCCCTTCCTCCAGCAATGAAAAAAGCCACCTCTAGTCAGTAGTGTCAATCAGAAATTGAGGGCAGGATTCTGTTTCGAGGGTTTCAGGCCTCCACCTCTTCCACAACAAACCCATAGCCTCCTGCAGCTTCTTTTCCGGCTGCCATTAGGCCGGGAGCTACTCCTGCCTTCCACCGTCCAGAGACTCACCCTCGCTGGCTGGCAGCAGCTCCAGAGGAAGCAGTGCCTGCATCTGGATATTGCTTCTAGCAAATGTGCAACTGCCAGAGCTCTGGCACCAATATAAACCCTTCCTGCCTGGGTAGCTGCTGTGGCCCCGGCTCAGTCAGAGCAGCCCGGCCTCCCAGCTGAGGCCCCCTATCTACCACCCACTGCCAGCTCATCCCCAAGCCACAGCACAGGCCCATGCTTCTCTTCCAAAGTAGAAAGACCATCTTCTATCCCGGAGTCCTCACCTGCCACTCACAAATCAATCTGACCCTCTGACCACACAAACACCTAGTCTTCATAAAGTTCTATGATGGCACCAGGAATTCACTGCCCAAAGTGGGCAAATGGTATGCAAACCTGCCTCTGAGAACTCAGACTAAGGCCAGGTGTGGTGGCTCACACCTGTAATCCCAGTACTTTGGGAGGCTGAGGCAGGTGGATCACCTGAGGTCAGGAGTTTGAGACCAGTCTGGCCAACAAGGTGAAACCTCATCTCTATTACTAATTTAAAAAAAAATTAGCTGGGTGTGGTGGCATATGGCTGTAATCCCAGCCAGCTGCTCAGGAGGCTAAGGCAGGAGAATCACTGGAACCTGGGAGGCAGAGGTTGCAGTGAGCTGAAATTGTGCCACTGCACTGCAGCCTGGGCGACAGACTTAGACTCTATCCCCCCACCCTCTGCAGAAAAAAACCACCACCAACAAAAAACAAAGACAAAAATTAGTTGGGCATGGTGGCACGCTCCTGTAATCCCAGCTACTTGGGAGGCTGAGGCAGGAGAATCTCTTGAACCCAGAAAGTGGAGATTGTAGTGAGTCGAGATCATACCACCACTGGACTACAGCCTGGGCAACAGAGCGAGAGTCCATCTCAAAAAACAACAACAAAAGAACTCAGAGTAGTCACCACTGGCTGCTGTCCACCCCCACTGACCCGAGACCACCCCCTGGACCCCTGCTGTGGAAGGCTTCTGCTGGAGCTGTGATAAGCACTGCTTTTTGCAGTATTTCAAGGCACTGCTGGAGCCTGGCTTCTTACTGGCTGTCCCAGAACAAGAGGGGCAGTGACCTAGGAGGCAGTGCCCTGATCTGCCAGAAACACATGAAGCTAGAAACTCCCAGAAAAGTGGGTCTGGACACAAGTGTGCCAACCAACTACTAAGGGCTGAACTGTGTGCTCCACAGATTCCCATGTTAAATATGATACGGCTGTGGCCTTTTCAGAGGAAGAGATCTCAATCTCCTGATATGTCTCTGCTATGTGAGGACACAGAAGGCACCCAACTGCAAGTTAGAACCCAACAATGCTGGCACCCTGATCTCAGACTTCCAGCCTCCAGAACTGAGGAAACAATGTCTGTTTGTGTGTGTGTGTGTCATTATAGACGTTGGCTGTAATGCTAGCACTTTGGGAGGTCAAGGTGGGATGAGCCACAAGGCCAGCCAACGTCTGCTTTTATTTTTTTGAGACAGAGTTTTGCTCTTGTTGCCGAGGCTCACTGCAACCTCCGCCTCTTGGGTTCAAGTGATTCTCCTGTCTCAGCCTTCTGAGTAGCTGGGATTATAGGCACACGCCACCATGTCTAGCTAATTTTTTTTTTTTTTTTGAGATGGAGTTTCGCTCTTGTTGGCCAGGCCAGAGTACAATGGCACGATCTTGGCTCACTGCAACCTTTGCCTCTCAGGTTCAAGCGATTCTCCTGCCTCAGCCTCCTGTGTAGCTGGGAGTATAGGCAACTGCTACCATGTTCAGTAATTTTTTGTATTTTTAGTATAGATGGGGTTTTACCATGTTGGCCAGGTGATCAACCCACCTCAGCCTCCCAAAGTGCTGGGATTACAGCATGAGCCACCACACCTAACCCCAGTGTCTGCTTTTTAAGACAAAAATCTGTGGTATTTCATTAAAGCAGCACAATCTAAGATACTGACACTCAACTCTTCAGGAACACAGCCCCTGCCCCAGGAGTCCAGCTAAATGTCTGACACAGATCTAAATGTTCTTTTCATTTTTTCTTTTTTTTTTGAGACGGAGTCTTACTCTGTCACCCAGGCTGGAGTAGAGTGGCATCATCTTGGCTCACTGCAACCTCTGCCTCCCCAGTTCAAGAGATTCTCCTGCCTCAGCCACCTGAGTAGGTGGGACTACAGGTTCCCGCCACCAAGCCTAAATTTTGCATTTTTAGTAGAGGCAGGGTTTCACCATGTTGGCCAGGCTGGTCTTGAACTCCTGACCTCAAGTAAACGCCCCCCTTGGGCTCCCAAAGTGGTGGGATCACAGGTGCACACCACCATGCCCAGCTAATTTTTGTATTTTCAGTAGATACAGGGTTTTACCATATTGGCCAGGCTGTTCTCAAACTCCTGACCTTGAGATCCACCCACCTCAGCCTTGCAAATTAATGGGATTACAGGCATAAGCCACCATGTCTCCCATCAGTTTTCTTACCTTTTTTTTCCCTCAAACATGAAAAGGAGAACAACTCATCAGTTTTTTTAAAAGCTAAGGCCGGGCGTGGTGGCTCACGCCTATAATCCCAGCACTTTGGGAGGCCGAGGCGGGTGGATCACGAGGTCAAGAGATCGAGACCATCCTGGTCAACAAGGTGAAACCCCGTCTCTACTAAAAATACAAAAATTAGCTGGGCATGGTGGTGCGCGCCTGTAGTCCCAGCTACTTGGGAGGCTGAGGCAGGAGAATTGCTTGAACCCAGAAGGCGGAGGTTGCAGTGAGCCAAGATTGTGCCATTGCAGTCCAGCCTGGGTAACAAGAGCAAAATTCCATCTCAAAAAAAAAATAAATAAAATAAAAGCTTAAAAGCCAATTTGTAAGTAGGACCTGGCATAGCAGCCCAGAACTTCCCTCAGGTTTTGAAAAGAGGAGGCACACTGCACCCTCTACAACCCTGAACCACATCTATTGGCTCCCTCAGTGCCTACATATATTATACAACATCACTAAAGTCACTTCAAGTAGGGGGAAAAAGCCTTATTGATGTAGTATATAAAGCTATTTCAGATGGATGGGATTATTAAAGGATTCTAATGCATATAAAACACGTTTTAAAAAGTGATTTCCCTTTAATCTGCTGCACCTTAATTTGCCATCTATTTAATAGCTATTTGTCGATGTCATATAGACTTTTCATTTCCCTGGCTCAACACTGTTAAAAACTTTATCACCATATCTGCTAGTATTTCATTGTTCACTGCTTCAAATCAAGTGTGTGCATTATCTTCGGTTTTGTTGGCAGCTTCACTTTGGCAGCTAAAGGCACACAGTTCCCTATAATGAAGTCAGACAACTAGTCCATAATAAAAGACTGCTGGGCATGGTGGCTCAAGCAGGAGGATGGCTTGAAGCCAGTAACTGGAGACCAGCCATGTGTGGGGACACACACGTACCTGTGGTCCTGGCTTCTCTGTAGTCCTAGCTACTGGGGAGGCTGAGACAGGAGGACTGTGTAAACTCAGGAGTTCAAGGTTACAATGAGCTATGATTGTTATCACTGCATTTCCGCATGACAGAGCGAAACCCCATGTCCTTAAAAAAGAAAAAAAAAAAGCCTGGGCATGGTGGCTCACACCTGTAATCCCAGTACTTTGGCAGGCCGAGGCGGGAGGATCATTTGAGCTCAAGACAAGACCGGGCCACATGGGGAGACTGTGTCTTTACAAAAAATAAAAAATAAAAAACTAGCTGGGGACAGTGCCTCACAACTGTGGTCCCAGATACTCAGGAGGCTGAGGTGGAAGAATCACTTGCGCCCAGGAGCTGGAGGCTATACAGTGAGCCATGATATCATGACTATACTCCAGCCTGGGCAACAGAGTAAGATCCTGTCTCAAATGAATAAAAAAATAAATAAATAAAAGAATATAAAAGGAAATGAGTAAAAGAATATAAGGGAAATTCTCATCCCTAAAACCTGTGAATAGGTCACAAGGCAAAAGGTATTGAAGGAATGGTTTCCTAGAATATTTAACAAAATAAAGAAAATAATAAAAAAGAAAAATTAAAAAAAAACCCTGTGATTAAATTAAGGATCTTTAATCAGCTGTGATTAAAGATCTTGCAGGAGGGGGTTATTACACATTTTCAAGACCAGTCTAAAGTAATCACAAGTTTCTCTGTGAGAGGGAGACAGGAGGTCAGAGTCAGAAAGATGTGAAGATGTTATGCTGCTGGATTTGGAGAAGAGGTGAGAGCGATGGGCCTCGGAATGCAGGTGGCCTCTAGAAGCTGGCAAAGTCAAGGAAGAAAATTCTTCCTACAGCCTCCAGAAGGAACACAGCCCTGATGACACTTCGGTTTTGGCCCAGAGACATCCAATTTGGACTTCTGAGCACCAGAACTATAACATGATAAAATATATATGCTTTTAAGCTGCTAAATTTGGGAAATTAATTACAGTAACAATCACAAACTTACACAAACATTAAGAATATATTCATTCATCTGTGAATATTTCTTTCTTTCTTTATTTTTGAGTCTCTCTCTGTCACCCAGGCTGGAGTGCAGTGGCATGATCTCAGCTCGCTGCAACCTCTGCCTCCCAGGTTCAAGCAATTCTCGTGTCTCAGCCTCCTGAGTAGCTGGGATTACAAGCATGAGCCACTACACACAGCTAATTTTTTTGTATTTTTTAGTAGAGATGGGGTTTCGCCATGTTGGCCAGGCTGGTCTCAAACTCCTGACCTCAGGAAATCTGCCTGCCTCGGCCTCCCAAAGTGCTGGGATTAAAGGCATGAGCCACTGTGCCCAGCCCATATGTATTTATAGAGCTCATTCTATTTGCTGGCAACCCTAGTGAAAAAAAAAAAGTCTAAGATGCCTGCTCTGAAAGAGCTTATTTAAGAATACATTTTCAGCGAGAAATAGCAGTGAAAGAGAACAGACATAGAAGAATCCTCTAGTGGATTCTGTATTAACAAAACGGGTCTATAATGGCCAGCTCCCTGGCCTCTAACCTCCACAGCGGAGTCAACTAACTCCCCATCAAGGCTTTAAGACCAACCTGGCCCCAAATGGCAGCAATGGAAAGAACCTGAGCCAAGTGGGCAGCATGATGCTCAGCACGCAGCCCTCCTTCCAGCTGGCCCCACTCTAATCTTGTGTTCCAGCTGAAGAACTGGGTCAGCAAGGCCACTTCTTCTTCTGGGGCTCTAAGTAGACCGCATGAGTCCTCAGGGGGGTTAAGAGTCTTATGTGGTCCTGCAAGTCCGTGCTGAAGCTGGGCTGCCCATCAGCCTGCGGCTCTACATGTTGTCCACTGGGAGACTCCTCTCTTGCCAAACCCCACCTCCCTGCCTGGAGGTCCAACTGTCCCCTCCACTCCTCCCTAACAAGATGATGTGCCCACAGAACTACCAACTGTAGTTGACCACCTCTCTCTGGATACTGCCTGCCTGCTCCTCCCTGGTTCTTGGAGGTGCCCCTGGCCTGCCTCACCCCAGTGGTCTCTGGGTCCTAGCCTGTCCAGACTGTCTGTCCTGATCAGGCCTTCCATCTGTTCTCCATGCAAAGCCAGTATGTCAATGCCACTGGGTACGGGGTTTCTTCCCAGGATGGTGCAAACATTCTCAAATTGATTGTGCTGATAGCTGTACACCTCTCTGGATTGTGTACTTAAGAAAAAAGTCAGAATCATCCCACCTCTGCTCAAAACCCCCCAGCAGAGTGCTCCAGGATCCGCCCTCCTCTCCTCCTCTCTGCTTTGCCCACATAGTCCCTCCAGGCACCCTGACCTGCTCAGTGTTTCCTCTGCAGGCTCTTGCTCCAGGCCCTCTGAATCTGCTGCTCCCTGGCCTAGAACACTTGCTCTTCCCACAATAGCTGTCGGCTCATTCCTCCCTTCCTTGAGATTTTGACTCCAATGTCATCCCCATCACCTTACAGCAAAAAGCATTTCACCCCCCTCCCCACCCTGACACTCACAACCAGCTGTTCCATCCCGCAGGTTGTGTGTTTTCTCCCTCCCTCCATTGGAATGAGAGCTCCATGTGGGAAAGGGCTTTGTTTTGTTCACCATGGCATCTTGACCTGGTACCTAGGGGGAAAAAAAAAAAGAGAGGCACACATTTGATACTGAGTAAATGTTTGTTGAGTGAACAAATAAATGAGTGGTCCAAATGTGACGCAGTCTTGATTCCAGCAAGGACACAAGCTAAACATTATTGGGTTGTACTTTAATTATCACAAGACCCACTAGGACTTTAGTTTAGTGAAATCCATACAATAAAGTCAATCCTTTATTGTATTTATACCAGAAAAAGATCTGCCTTCCTTGACATTCAGATTTGTTAAAAATGACAAAAGAAGCTGGGGGAGGTGACTCATGCCTGTAATCCCAGCAGTTTGGGAGGCCGAGGTGGGCAGATCAGGCGGTCAGGAGTTGAAGACCAGCCTGGCCAACATAGTGAAACCCTGTCAAAAAAAAAAAAAAAAAAAGACGGCCGGGCACAGTAGCTCACGCCTATAATCCCAGCACTTTGGGAGGCTGAGGCAGGTGGATCAAGAGGTCAAGAGATTGAGACCATCCTGGTCAACAAGGTGAAACCCTGTCTCTACTAAAAATACAAGAATTAGCTGGGCATGGTGGTGCGTGCCTGTAATCCCAGCTACTCAGGAGGCTGAGGCAGGAGAATTGCTTGAACACTGGAGGCGGAGGTTGCGGTGAGTCGAGATCGTGCCATTGCACTCCAGTCTGGGTAACAACAGCGAAACTCTGTCTCAAAAAAAAAAAAAAAAAGACAAAAGAAATTTGAACAACTAGAATAAAGAGCGTTGGGCAGATATGTAAATGGCTATATTGCAAACGCTGGTTAAAAAGAAATCAATCCAAAGCTTCCTGGTAGAAATAAATACTTCACATCAATGATTCTGCAATAACAAGTTGGCATAAACTGCAAATAACCTTTTCTGTGGGGCCAAAATATTAACTGTGCTTCAGGAAAACAGGCTTTGGTGCCTCAAACAAGATCAAACCTCATGTAGGAACACAGCCACCATTCCAGCTAAAGATGGACTGCAGGTAGATACGGTTTGGCTCTGCATCCCCACCCAAATCTCATCTTGAATCGTACTCCCAAATTCCCCCATGTTGTGGGAGGGACCTGGTGGGAGATAATTGGATCACAGCAGGCAGTTTCCCACATAGTGTTCTCATGGAAATAAGTCTCACGGTTTTATCTGACGGTTTTATCAGGGGTTTCCGACTTTGCATCTTCCTCATTCTCCCTTTGCCTGCTGCCATCCATGTAAAACAGGATTGGCTCCTCCTTGCCTTCCACCATGATTGTGAGGCTTTCCCAGCTGTGTGGAATTGTAAGTCCAAATAAACCTCTTTCTTTTGTAAATTGCCCAGTCTCAGGTACGTCTTTATCAGTGGCATGAAAATGGACCAATACACAGGTTTTGTGTTTACCACCAAATTCTCATCTATTTGGGGTCAAGGGCCATGTCTCCTATCTGCCTATACCTCCAGGTCAGACCCTGCACTTGGCCAAATGTATACACACTGAACAAATGATCCCTGGTAGCCAACACCTTGAAGTTATATATACATGAAAGTAATCTTAAACTCAAGTACACATTGCAGTTTAAAATTTTCAGAACCACTGGTGCAGTGGCTCACACCTGTAATCCCAGCACTTTGGGAGGCTGGGGGGTGCTTCATGAGGCCAAGAGATGGAGACCATCCTGGCCAATATGGTGAAAGCCCATCTCTACTAAAAATACCAAAAAAAAATTAGCTGGGCATGGTGGCACGTGCCTGTAGTTCCAGCTACTCAGGAGGCTGAGGCAGGAGAATCACTTGAACAAGGGAGGCAGAGGTTGCAGTGAGCTGAGATCGCACCACTGCATTCCAGCCTGGTAAAAGATTGAGACTCCATTAAAAAAAAAATTTCAGAACAATTTCTGAGATTAAAACAATTATCAGGGATAGATTCTCTACCTTGGTACATTAAAACTATCATCCCAAATACACTTATCTCAATGTTTTTTAAAGAAATAAAAGAGAACTAAAAGTCCCAAGAGTCAACAGAGTATTCAGTTACAAAGTATCACCCCATACAGGATTGCTAGTTAAGACAGAGTTCAGGTACCCTTACAGAGAGGAGATCTGACAAGACACCATCTTCACGAAAGGATCTAACTTGTCAACAAAGGTACGACTTGACATCTTTTAAGGTGATTTACTGACAAGTGGACATCACCTATGCAGGTAGCATTGTGAACAAAAAAAAGTTTAATCTGAATCTAATCATGAAGAAAATCAGAGGAACCGAGATTGTAAAACATTCTATGAAACAATTACCATGGGCTGGATGCGGTGGCTTATGCCTGTAATTCCAGCACTTGGGAGGCTGAGGCTGGTGGATCACGAGGTCAGGAATTCAAGACTAGCCTGGCCAAGACAGTGAAACCCCTAAAAAAATTCTACTAAAAATACAAAATTAGCTGGGCATGATGGCAGGTGCCTGTAATCCCAGCTACTTGGGAGGCTGAGGCAGAGAACTGCTTGAACCCAGGAGGTGAACGTTGCAATGAGCCGAGAACGCACCACTGTACTCCAGCCTGGGCGACAGAGAGAAACTCCCTCTCAGAAAAAGAAAAATTAGCTGGGCATGGTGTGCATGCCTCTAATCCCAGCTACTCAGGAGGCTGAGGCTGGAGAATCACTTAAACCTGGGAGGCAGAGGTTGTAGTAAGCCAAGATTGCACCACTGTACTTCAGCCTGGGCAACAAAGCAAAACTCCATCTTAAAAAAAAAAAAAAAAAGACAAAACAAAAACAATTAGCATAGACTCTTTAAAAATGCCAATCTCAAGAAACTGAAACAAGAAGGAACTGTTTTAGGTTAAATGACCCTTAAAGATACAGAACAATTGGCTGGGCGTGGTGGCTCAAGCCTGTAATCCCAGCACTTTGGGAGGCTGAGGCGGGTGGATCAGGAGGTCAAGAGATCGAGACCATCCTGGTCAACATGGTGAAACCCTGTCTCTACTAAAAATACAAAAATTAGCTGGGCATGGTGGCACGTGCCTGTAGTCCCAGCTACTAGGGAGGCTGAGGCAGGAGAATTGCCTGAACCCAGGAGGCGGAGGTTGCGGTGAGCCGAGATCGTACCATTGCACTCCAGCCTGGGTAACAAGAGCGAAACTCCATCTCAAAAAAAAAAAAAAAAAAAAGATACAGAACAATTAAAGCGGTATGTGAACCTTGATTAGATACTGGAATTAAAAAAAAATGAAAAGCCGACTCTTTTTTTGTGAGCAAACAATTGGGGAAATTTAAGTAAGCCCTGTCCATTAGATACCTTTACTCTATCAATGTGAAATTCCTTTGGTATGCCCTGGCGCATTGGCTCATGCTTGCAATCCCAGCACTTTGGGAGGCTGAGGAGGGGGGGGATCACCTGAGGTCAGGAGTTCAAGACCAGCCTGGCCAACATGGTGAAACCCCGTCTGTACTAAAAATACAAAAATATTAGCTGGGCATGGTGGGGCGTTCCTGTAATTCCAGCTACTCGGGAGGCTGAGGCAAGAGAAATGCTTGAACCAGGACCCTGGAGGCGGCAGTTGCAGTGGGCCAAGATCTTGCCACAGCATTCCAGCCTGGTCTACAGAGCGAGATGCTATTTCAAAAAAAAAAAAAAAATTCCTTTGGTATATTTTGCGGCCATGAAAGAATAAATTTTACAAGACATATGCTAAAGTAGGAGGCATCAGTGCCATGACCTCTGCAACTTCCTATCAAATGGCTCTGATGCACTGTGCCATGTACATATGTACATACATCCATGCATAAAAAGAGCTAGAGACAAAATATTACCGAATCTAAGAGCATGGGTATTGTTGTATTGTTCTCTCAATGTTTTGGCAGGCTTGAAATTTTTTTGAAAAAAGAGATGAAAAGGCTGGGCGCGGTAGCTCACTCCTGTAATCCCAACACTTTGAGAGGCTGGGGTGGGTGGATCACAAGGTCAAGAGTTTGAGACCAGCCTGGCCTAGATGGTGAAACCTTGTATCTCCTAAATATACAAAAATTAGCCGGGTGTGGTGGCAGCCACCGTAGTCCCAGCTACTGGAGAGGCTGAGGCAGGAGAATCACTTAAACCCGGGAGGCAGAGGTTACAGTAAGCCTAGGTCGCACCACTGCACTCCAGTCTGGGTAACAGAGTAAGACCTCTTCTCAAAAACAAAACAAAACAATAACAACAAAAAAGCGGTGAAAAAATAAGGAAACAAAAACAGATTAATCTGGTCCCAGTAGTACCTCCATATTGCAAGAACATTTCGTTTTTCACACAAGGCCCATAGAATATCATCTTTTTTTTTTGTCATAATTGTCAAATGTGATCCTAGCACCTTCTGAGATAACATGAGCTGCCCGATTCTCTTTTCGGGCATGACCACAAGCTAACATCTGCATCTGACCCCAACCTGCCTGACTACCTTACCAGCTACTTCACAGTCCCCACCAGGAAAAACCCTGGGCACATAATCACGCTGCAAGTCCCAGGTGTCCGCTGAACAGCGCCTGGCAGTCACTGCTCAGGGGATGAGAAATCACAGGTGCCTTGTTTGGGACTAGAGTCAGGAGTCCCGTCCTCCTTCCCTCGGCTCTGCTCCCCCGTTGTTTACGAAGATCTCAGTCCCCTCTGCGGGAAGCCCCACCTCCCCTTCCAGGGCCACGGGCCCCAGTCTTCTTGCCTTTCAAGGTCAACACAAATAACTGCGCCTCCCCTCAAAGCCTTTCTCCGTCTTCCCAGGTGAAGTCCTCCTCGCTCCTCCCTCCAGCTCTCCGAGCACGGGCAGTTCTTCCTGGCACTGGAACTCTGAACAACCAGCTCATGCTGCAGGGGGCAGAAGAGTTCAAAGGAAGCTGGGCCAAAGCTCTTGATGGCTTAGTGGGAACAAGGCAACAGGTGGCACCAGGTCCCGTAAAGAAAATCCTGGAAAGCGGAGAGGGTCTCGGAGAGGGTGGATTCGGCCCGAGGCGCCCGCGATCAGCTGAGGAGCCGCCGGTGCAAAGGGCGGGGCTGCAGACCCCGGGCAAGGGGAGCGCGAGCTTTGACCCCTCGGCCGGGCCGAGCAGCTCCAAGGCCCCTAGAAGGAGGCTGGACGCGGTGGAGCAACCCAGAGAGGGCGGAGACCACCGCCTCCCGGGCACGGGGGTTGCAGCTCTGAAACTGGGGCGCTCGGAAGCTCCAAAGGGCAAGACCCGCTCGGGTGGCGGTCGAGAGGGCTCCAGTCCCGAGCCCACCGGCGGCCGTTCCCCCCACCTCACGCCCAGCGGGGCTCCGGGCCGGCGAGGAGAGGGGCTCCGGGTGAGCAGCGGGACCCCCCCCCCCCCGGTACAGGAGGACAGCGCCCACCCAGCCGGTCGGCGGCGCACCGGGACGCCGCCAGGAGTTGGGACGCCCATAACCAAGCCGATACGCCGCGGCCGCCGCTCCCCTCGCGCTCCATCCCGTTGCCATTCACCACAGAGAGCTGAGGGAGGAGCGCCCTAAGTGCGGCAGCGGGCAGCCCCCAGCACCCTCCTCGCCTCATCCCAGCTACTCGGGAGGCTGAGGCAGGAGAATCGCTTGAACCCAAGGAGGGGGAGGTTGCAGTGAGCCGAAGTGACACCATTGCATTCCGTCCTGGGCAACAGCGTCAGCTCCAGTCGGGCCCTCTTCCCTGAATCCGAACGGTGCCGCCAAGTGACCGTTTCCTTCTCCAATCACAAGGCGCTGCAGCCGGCGGGGGCTGGGCCAGGGTTGTTCCCGCCCCGACGTTGGCTCGGCTTGCACAAACCTAGCTTCACGCACGCGCCCCCTGCTGGAGAAGCGGTCCCTGCCCGCGAGCTGCGCGCTCTGCTCTGCCCTTTTCGGCAGTGCCTGTAAGAAAACAAGGGAATTGCACGCGGCCCACCAGACTAGAGCTGTGGATTTACTAGGGATGTGGCAAAGCAGTGATCAGAACAGATCTGGAACGTTGTAGTATCTAGGTCTGGACCCCAATATTTAAGCAACCTTCATGAATAGAATAATCACATTCTCAGACCGGGTGCGATGGCTCACGCCTGTAATCTCAGGACTTTGGGAGGCCGAGGCGGGTGGATCACTTGAGGTCGGGAGTTCGAGACCAGGCTGGCCAACATGGCAAAACCCATCTCTATTTTTGTATCAAAAATACAAAAATTAGCAGGGCGTGGTGGCACGTGCCTGTAATCCCAGCTACTTGGAAGGCTTAGGCAGGAGAATCCCTTGAACCCGGAGATAGAGGTTGCAGTAAGCCGAGATCGTGCCACTGCACTCCAGCCTAGGTGACATCTCAAAAACAAAAACAAACAAAAAACATTCTCTATTTAAATCAGATAGTAAAAATCCTATTCAAAGGCTGATGTGGGACCGAAATGGGAGGGAGGTTGTGGATATACAGTCTCCGTAGAGTGCAATGTAATTGGGTTTTTGTTGTTTTGAGACAGGATCTCGCTCTGTTGCCCATGCTGGAGTGCAGTGGCACAATCTTCGCTGACTGCAGCCTCTGCCTCCTGGGTTCAAGCGATTCTCGTGCCTGAGCCTCCTGAGCAGCTAGGATTGCAGGCATACACCATCACGACTAGCTAATTCTCTCTCTCTCTCTCTTTTTTTTTTTTTTGCGAGAATGGGGTCTTGGCTGTGCACAGTGGCTCACGCCTGTAATTCCAGCACTCTGGGAGGCTGAGGTGGGTCGATCACTTGAGATCAGGAGTTTGAGACCAACCTGGCCTACATGGTGAAACCTCATCTCTACTAAAAATACAGTAAGTAGCCAGGCATCACGGTGTGTGCCTGCAATCCCAGCTACTCGGGAGCCTGAGGCAGGAGAATTGCTTGAAGCCAGGAGGCGGAGGTTGCGGTGAGCCAAGCTGAGATCATGCCATTGTATTCCAGCCTGGGCAACACGAGCAAAACTGCATCTTAAAAAAAAAAAAAAGAAAGAAAAGAAAAAAGAGAGAATGGAAATGTATTTTCTCATGGTTCTGGAGGCTTGGAGGTCCAGGATGTAGGCGCCTGTAGGTTGTGTATCTGGGGAGGGCCTGCTCCTCACTGCTCACACTACCGATCGTCACATGGAGGAACAAAGTGAACCCACTCTCTCAAGCTCTTTTAGAAGGCTCTTAATTCCATACACAGGGGCTCTGCCCTCCTTATTTAACCATCCCATGAGGCCCCTCCTCTCTTAATATCACACTGCTGTTAAGTTTCAACACAAGGACATAGGGGAAACATGCAGACCATAACTCTCAAGTGATTTCCACAAAGTTCCACGAGATGGAGAGGCTTGTGATGACTAATAGTAAGTATTAATTGAACATCTTCTGGGTGTCACCAAACCAAATGCTAGCTATGGATTATGTTAGGGATGCAAAGCACCGAGTGAAGTTATTACTTTTCTTCTCATTTCACAGGTGAAATTCCTATTTAACAGAGATAAAATAATTTGGCTGAAGCCACAAAATTAATAGCTGGCTAAGAGGGATTTGAAATTAAATATTGTGACGGGGCATGTGGCTCATGCCTGTAATCCCAGCACTTTGGGAGGCCGACGAGGGCAGATCACAGGGTCAGGAGTTCAAGACTAGCCTGGCCAACATGGTGAAACCCCATCTCTACTAAAAATACAAAAATTAACCTGCTATGGTGGTGGGTCCCTGTAGCCCCAACTACTCGGAAGGCTGAGGTAGGAGAATCACTTGAATCTGGGAGGCAGAGTGTGCAGGGACCCAAGATCGTGTTACCGCACTCCAGTCTGGTGACAGAGTGATACTCCAACTCACAAAAAAAAGAAAAAAGAAAAGAAACTAAATAGTTTCCACATCCTCATGGTTAACTTTTACACCACATTTTGGAGAAAGAAGCCATAAACCAAAAGGAAGCTGCAATAGATGAGGCAGCCTCGGGCTCGGTGGACTGGAGAAAAAGGAAGGCTGGACACAGAGGGACCTACCCAGGGTCTAGGTGGAGCACAGCAGCTCTGCCAGCCCTCCTCTCCTCCTCCATCCCCCACCCCTCCCACAGGTAGAACAGGCTGGCCAAATATTTCAGCTGATCCTGGAAGAAACAGAAAATTTAAGAAACAAAGATAAATAATGTATCTCAATTAGCATACTCAGAGTCTAAGAAGATATTGTATTTATAGAACCAAAGCATGATGCCCTGAAAATTGAACAAAGAACCAGTTATTAGAAATGAAAAATCTGTGGTGAAGCTTGTCTGTAGTCCCAGCTACTCAGGAGGCTGAGACAGGAGAATTGCTTCAATCCAGGAGGTGCAAACCATATAATCCAAGAGGCCAAGGTGGGAGGATGGCTTGAGGCCAAGAGTTTGAGACCAGCCTGGTGTAGTGAGACACTGCCTCTACAAAAAAAGAAAAAAAATTTTTTTGAGACAGTGTTTCGCTCTTGTTGCCCAGGCTGGAGTGCAATGGCTCAATGTCAGCTCACCCACAACCTCTGCCTCTCAAGTTCAAGTGATTCTTCTGCCTCAGCCTCCTGAGTAGCTGGGATTACAGGAATGCATCACCATGCCCAGCTCATTTTGCATTCTTAGTAGAGATGGGGTTTCTCCGTGTTGATCAGGCTGTTCTCTAACTCCCGGCCTCAAGTGATCCAGCTGCCTTGGCTTACCAAAGTGCTGGGATTATAGGCATGACCCACTGTGCCTGGTAATTTTTTTGCTTTTTTAAATTTAGACAGGTTGGTTGAGCATGGGGGCTCATGCCTATAATCCCAGCACTTTGGGAGGCTGAGGTAGGTGGATCACTTGAGGTCAGGAGTTTGAGACCAGCCTGGCCAACATGATGAAACCCTGTCTCTACTAAAAATACAAAAATTAGCTGGATATGGTGGCCAGCACCTGTAATCCCAGCTACTTGGGAGGCTGAGGCAGGAGAATTGCTTGAACCTGAGAGGTGGAGGTTGCAGTGAGCAGAGATCATGCCACTATACTCCAGCTTGAGTGACAGAGCGAGACTCTGTCTCAAAAATAAATAAAATAAAAATTAGCTAGGTGTGGTGGTGGACCCCTGTAGTTGCAGCTACCTGGGAGGCTGCGGTAGGAGGATGGATTGAGCCTAGGAGGTTGAGGTATCAGTGAGCTACGGTCATGCCACTGCACTCCAGCCTAGGTGACAGAGTGAGACCTTATCTCTCAAAGAAAAGATAAAGTTGAGGGCTTTGAGAAGCCAAGGCAGGAGGATCACTTGAAGCCCGGAGTTCAAGACCAGCCTGGGCAACCTAGTGTGACCTTGTCTCTACAAAAAAGAATTTAAAAATTAGACAGGTGTGATGGCGCAGGCCTGTAGTCCGAGTTACTTAGGAGGCTTAGGCGGGAGGATTGCTTGAGTGCAGGAGCTCCAAGCTGCAGTGAGCCATGATGGTGCCACTGGACTCCAGCCTAGGTGAGGTACTGCGACCCTGTCTCTAAACCGAAAAGGAAAAGAAAACAGGAAATAAACTTTAAAGGCGAATACAAAATGGAAAAAAAGAGAGCAAAGAAAAGGGGGAAAACCAAATTGCCTCACTAGTACATGTTTAAGGAAAAATAACAAAGACAACAGACCAAGAAAGAATCGTTTAAAATACAGATGAAACAGAGCTGGAGAGAACCAAGTGCTCTTCATGTACCCAAGAGAAGGAATAAGAGAAAGAAACACTTAATACATCTGTGTGACTGTCATAACCAAAAATAAAGCACTCACTTTGAAATGGTGATTGAGGCCGGGCGCAGTAATCCCAATACTTTGGGAGGCTGAGGTGGGTGGACCAAGAGGTCAGGAGTTCAAGACCAGCCTGGCCAAGATGGTGAAACCCCATCTCTACTAAAAACTACAAAAAAAAAAAAAAATTTAGCCACACACAGTGGCAGGCACCTGTAATCCCAGCCACTTGAGAGGCTGAGGCAGGAGAATTGCTTGAACCTGGGAGGCAGAGGTTGTAGTGGGCCGAGATCAAGCCACAGCACTCTAGCCTGGTGACAGAGCAAGACTGTGTCTCAAAAAAAAAGAAAAGAAGGCCGGGCGCGGTGGCTCAAGCCTGTAATCCCAGCACTTTGGGAGGCCGAGGTGGGTGGATCACGAGGTCAAGAGATCGAGACCATCCTGGTCAACATGGTGAAACCCCGTCTCTACTAAAAATACAAAAAATTAGCTGGGCATGGTGACGCGTGCCTGTAATCCCAGCTACTCGGGATGCTGAGGCAGGAGAATTGCTTGAACCCAGGAGGCAGAGGTTGCGGTGAGCCGAGATCGCGCCATTGCACTCCAGCCTGGGTAACAAGAGTGAAACTCCATCTCAAAAAAAAAAAAAAAAAAAGAAAAGAAAAGAAAGAAAGAAATGGTGATTGACCAGCGGCTGTGGCTCATGCCTATAATCCTAGCACTTAGAAAGGTTGACACAGGATGTCTGTTTCAGGTCAGGAGGTTGAGGCTATGCTGGGCGGCACACTGAGATCTTGTCTGATGATTGCACAACTGTGAAAATATATTAAAATCATTGAATTGCACAGTTAAATGAATTTCATGGTATATGAAACATATCTTAAAAACTTTTTAAAACATGACCAATAGCCTACTAAAGTTTCTGTTTAGCTTAGTTTGAGTATCTGAAATGTCATTTTTAACGTTAACAATGGGGCTGGGCACGGTGGCTTATGCTTGCAGTCTGAGCACTTTGGGAGGTTGAGGTGTGTAGATCATTTGAGGTCAGGAGTTCGAGATAAGCCTGACCAACATGGTGAAACCCTGTCTCTACTAAATACAAAAAACATTAGCCAGGCGTGGTGGCACATCCCTGTAACGGGAGCCACTGCACTCCAGCCTGCACAACAGAGTGAAGCTCTGTCTCAAAAACCAAACAAATAAAAAACTATTAACTATGGTGATAGTCATCTTGGTTCTCCACTATCTTTTTTTTTTTTTTTTTTTTCTGAGACAAAGTCTTGCTCAGTCACCCAGGCTGGAGTGCAGTAGCTTGATCTAGGGTCACTGCAACCTGCGCCTCCTGGGTTCAAGCATTCTCCTGCCTCAGCCTCCCAAGTAGCTGAGATTACAGTCACCCACCACCACTCCCAGCTAATTTTTGTGTTTTTAGTAGAGACAGGGTTTCACTATGTTGGCCAGGCTGGTCTCAAACTCCTGACCTCAAGTGATCAGACTGGCTTGGCTTCCCAAAGTGCTGGGATTAGAAGCGTGAGCCACTTCATCTGGTCACTCCACTCTTTTACATACAACTTTCAAATCTATTTTATTCTTTTTTTTTTTGAGATGGAGTTTCCCTCTTGTTGCTCAGGCTGGAGAGCAATGGCACAATCTCGGCTCACCACAGCCTCCACCTCCTGGGTTCAAGCAATTCTCCTGCTTCAGCCTCCTGAGCAGCTGGGATTACAGGCATGCACTACCATGCCCGGCTAATTTTGTATTTTTAGTAGAGATGGGGTTTCTCCGTGTTGGTCAGGCTGGTTTAGAACTCCCGACCTCAGGTGATCCGCCCACCCCAGCCTCCCAAAGTGCTGGGATTACAGGTGAAGCCATGGTTCCTGGCCTTATTATTCTTTATTTTAGAAGTAAAAAGAACAGAAGCCTTTTAGATGGCCCAGGTACTTAGCAAGCCAATGATGTGGAAACATTCTGTCATGTTAGTCGTATTGCAAAGGTCTGTGATTTACAGATACTTTCCAGCATCTCAGATTCTGTATGACTTTTTGGCATGTGGCAAAATGATTTGAGCTGACAGCTTTTTTCCATCATTCTGCTATAAAGAAATGAGACTCAGATGGGGCAGCAGCCAAGTGAGGGAGGCTG